GGGGTGACAAGTCAAGGGATATTAGCTCACCCATTAATATTGCTTACTTGTATTATATGCCTTAGATATATCTGTGCAGTGCTTATTCTCTTCCCCCTATTCATATTGGGATCACGTCTACTCCATAGTAAAGGGAAACATTATCTCATGCAATAAAGCAGTATATTTGGGGCTCACATATTAGATAATATTATTTAAAAGTGTAAGATGCATGGACCCTCCCATACTGTGTCATATTTCAGTGAATCTTGGCCATACACAGGTAAGTGTGCATCACTAGGAGGAATCAAACTCTAGACCCTGAAATAGAAATGTTGTAGACTGCAGTTACTAAAGAAGAGGCATAAACAAGCAGCTCCTGGATAGGTACCAGGAAAACTGTAAGAATTAAATGCTAATTGATATATTGCACTTCCCCCCCCCACTTTTTCTTTCTTTTCTTGATTTTCCTTTTATCTCAAAAGTGGCAAGGGATTAACACAGCATGAAATTGATCTTATCCAAATTCAGGAGATGCCTCATCTTCACCTCAGCTTCTATTTATCCTCTGTTCCCCAGCTGTCTCTAGAATAGGGCATCCCTCTGCAAAAGAGCATAAGACTGCAATTTTGTCACACTGTGGTGAAAACCATCCATCCCTCCAGAAAAGCCCATAAGATTGTACTTTTTGTCCCAGTGTGGTAAAAAACATCCTGCACTGAGGCCAGATGCTGTCTGGCACGATCAGAGTATCTGTATCTGAAGTATCTGTACTCTTGCTGTACTCAAGCACAAGGTTGGTTCACATTTATCTTTCAGGAATCTCCCCATGGTGCTGAAAAGCACCATGACAGAGTGTGCCCTTGTGAAGTGCTGGAAATCCATTGTGGGTGGAAGACACAATATGTCGTGCATTCCATGTTCATGCTGTGAGCACCATCATACATCTCCTTGTAAAACTGTCTGCTGCCACAGAAATAATTAAAAACTGAATCTTAAGCATTCTTCAATAACCACCATGCCATCAGGGGTGGGAAGAGGCAGGACTGGTGTTAATCTGACATTACTAACATTAGGCTTTCAGTACCACTTGCTACTATGGGCTCACAGAGTAGGAAAAGCTTATACAAACATGCTGATTGAAAAAAGCACATTATTGGCGGTTTCAGGTGGTATGAAGTAGGCAGCACAGAGGAGCTTCCATCAGAAGGAAAGAACTAGCCACAACATTTACTACATAAGTGTTGCATCCTCCTCTGATTCTTCTTTTCTTTATGATTTTTATTTGCACGCTTTCACTTTGATCATATTGCAGGTTTGATTTCTCTTAACCCATGGAAATTCTGATACAATTCTTTTTAGAGCAAGGCACCCTGAGGTATGAGATCCCATAGCCACACAGGAATGGATTAACCATACACATCAGAAACACATCTCTGCTGATGCAAGTACTTTGCACAACAGAAAAGGTGTGAGGGAGAGGGGTGTAAGCGAACCTCTAATGCAGATTAATCTTCATTTCAAAAACCAAGCACATTTTGTATAATCTATGCCACTAACAGCTAATGAAGAAAGCACATTTTCAGTGATGCAAAACAATAGATCAAGATCTAATATATTTATGAATGGCAACAGTAATATCAGCTTTTTTTTTAGAATAGGCTATCCAAAAAGTATTTTGACTGTGGTACACGTAGAAAGTCCTATGAGATGGCATGTCATAGGACATAGACACCAATGGCCATAAACCACATAAAAATATACACCAACTGGGAACTGAGGAAGGGTGGAAAGGCCAGAGGCAACAAGGGGCTTTGATTTAGTGCATTTAGAGCAAATGCACTTTGCCTTCCAGTTTAAAGGGCATGTACACAAACAAAGACTCCATTACGGATTAGTCCAATAGAGAATATCAGCAGTATAATGGCTAGAGTTGTACATTACAGATTTCAAAAGCAGAGAAATGCTTTTCATAGCAGCACTGTGAGAATTGTGTAAGTTCCTGCTTGCTAGAAAATTTAGACTTGGTCCAAATATAACAAAACTCTAAGGGAAAAGGCTTGCCTGCTGTGTTGCTGTAGTTCTTTGCTAAAATGCTGTTGAAGCCATCTGGATGAAAACATCCCTATTTACAGAAATAATTTTTTATAGAGAGAACAGGAGAAATAAATTGATGCTTTGAATACTTTGGGAAATTATGTTATATTGGTTGCCAATTCTTGGTTACATATAACAGCTAGCTCCCTTACAGTACGTATAATAGTGAAAGATAATTGTGTTGCTGAAAAACAATAGAAGTTCATCCGTCCAGCAACACTTTAATGATACATAAGGAGTCTATCACTTACACTGGAAAGCAGAAAGTGTATTTAGTGGAAATCTACTCTAAGTTTGAGGAATGATATCCAGAGGGTTTAAAGGAATTTTTTTTCTTCTACTCCCTCTGTCTTTAGAGAGAATCAGAGTCAGGCCAGCTTTCTAGCCTTCACATGGCCTACGTTGCATATGTAGGTAAGGTCTAACTGACTCCTCTCTATGTGTTTCTACTGTGCCACAGTCCCCCCTAGAAGTGTCTCAGCAAAAGATTATGGCTCCGTTTCCCAGCATGAGGGAGAATGATGCTTCCTTTCAATTAAGTACCAGCCAGCTGATTCCTACTGACATCCCCATTTCACAGGGCAGCTGGCTGTGTGCAGGGAGTTCTGCATTTATTTCAGTAATAAAGCTCATAAACATGCAATAAAGAGAACCTTAGACTTGTTCAGAGCACAGGTAAGAAGAACCTATAACTGCATTAAAACTTTAGACAGCGTATGGAGGAATAATATTAAAAACCTGTTTTAAAAACAGGCTTACAAAACTCACTGATTCTGTAGGTGACACTAGGATTGGTAGAATGGTCAAGTTATACTTAGATCATTTGTGGCTCTTGCATGAGAGTGTGTGCATGTGTATGTCTCTTGCTTCAGAGCTTCTAAGGTAACTACATTCCCTTGTCAGAGATAACATGGGGGAACCTGAAAGTCCAACAGAGCTCTTCCCCCTGTAGCAAATAAATGCAATTAAGCCGTTATTATGGTTCAGTAATCACAGTTCTGGGAACTAAAAGAAACAACAGTGCACTAGCTCTGTTACAGGTACAGTTGAAGAAAACATTTAAACAGTACTGGTGGCAATTTTCTAACACTAGTATGTCCAACTAGGCACCTGCAGACCAAAATCACCAGTCTTGATACTTATGGGCATCAAAACCAATTCCGGTAATTAGATGGACACACAAAATCTTGACAAAATGGATTTGTCCTTGACCTATTAGTTTATTTCAAAAAACCTTCTGTTCATTAAACTTACATACATCAGGGAATGTTGTAGATCTTTGATCCTTTCTCTGGTATTCAACAATGTGATATATGTCAAAGGCGACCAAAAAAACTGAAGGGAACTAAAGAAACACCTTCACTGACTAACCAAGGGAAACGTTGCATACTTCAAACATAAGTGCACCACCATTTTTCAGAACAAAATTGCTTAGCTTTACCATGAAGGTAATTTAAAGAAGTTTTATTGCAGTCAACTATGACTGAAATTAAGAACCATATTGTTTTACAATTCTGTCATATTACCCTTTCACCAGCCTTTTGCATTTAAAGATGCTCAGCTACTTAGGCATTTAAAAGGTCAATTTGCAAGGCATTTTGGTTTGCTGATTTCCACAGTTATCTACAATCTTAAGCCATGTTCCAAATTCACTGTGAATCATCTTTGATTTTTCTAGTTCTAAGGAAGTTAATGGAGTGCAATCTATAAATTAGGGCAAACTGGCAAATTTACAGTACTCTTGAGTTTTCACTCAGGCACACGGATTTTTGCCTCTATCCAAACTGTATAAATATTCTTCAATCTTTTCAGTCCTTGCATCTTTTCAATTAATAACTTTGCAATAATGCCTGAGAAAAATTTGATGAATTGCTGATCTGTTTGAAGCCTTCATATATTGTTGTGGGATTTTCCCACCACTCACACCTAGAAAGGACCAGAGGCTAAATTGGGAAAATTACTCTGAGCATGATTTTCTCATGCAGGCAGCCTCAGTGGCATGATGGTGGGATTTATGGCTCTAATGCCTGCTCGCTCCAATATTGGCATGCCTGAAGAGTGACTGTTGCTACCATACAGGCTATATTGCTCAGAACACATGGCCTCCTGTTTTCTCTCTCTGTAAAATCAAAGTTGTACAGAGGAAAGAAGAATAAGGCCCTAAAAGGAAGGATAAAGGTGTGGAATCTCAACATGACTGGAGTAGGACAATAGATTACTATCAGATTGAGCACAATTAATTTTCCCTATATTGTCACATATACAATTCACTAAGATAAAAGCCTACACTCTCTCTGAAACCCTTTTTACATTCACATAGGAAGATGTGCACATTAATGAATCCTGGGGTGATTTTTAAAATACCTTTCAACACAGTATGTTTCCCCAGAAGAGGAAGAAAAGCTGCAACACAAGATCAGGCTGATGATGAAGTGCCTCTTTACTCCTTTTAACCTAGACGTGCTGTTTAAAGGTAACATTTACCATCATTACCACACAATGCATCCAGCAACAGCCTAGGGAAAAAAAATCGAGGATGAGGGACACTGTCTTTCTGAGAAGTTCAGCAAGAGTCTGGGTAGCATCCATATTTCTTTCACAAGCCAGGCTCTGTGCTCACCATTCAGATGGCCTATAGTATAAAGTCAAGTGATGGCAAAAACATAACTTCCAACTCCATGTGTCTAGGATTTCAGGCACCATTGTGATCATACCTTGATGCAATATTTCCGTACTAGGTGCAGCTTGTTGCCAGAGTGCAAGTAAACTTTGTAACTGACTGCCACGAGTCAGCCTGGGAGCAGTAAATTAGCAAGTGGCTTAGGCACTCTAGTCTAGGAGAAGAGTAAAAAAGGAGTGTGGCTGCAGCACTGGGAACAACAGTCCTTGTTCTCCTGCTTTGATGGAGGTAAACAAGTCCATTGCTATCTGACGTTGCCAAACCTCAAAGTATAATGCTAGAAGGAAAAATAAGTTTCACAGAATTGAGCATATACAACCCTTCCCTTCCTTAATTGTATGTTACGCTAGTTGAAACTACCAAAGTGTTTACAGTATGCTATATATATATAATGGCACATTTAAGCTTTTTAAAGGGATTGGAACTTCAGAAATGTCTCTGGTGCTGAAAAAGGCTAATGTATTACAAATTATATATTATTTTAATTCAGAAAAAATATGTTTGGGTATTTTGACCTAGCATCATAAGGGTTAGGAAACCGAACGAGGATGCCATGAAGCATGACTGACATATTAGTCGAGCTAGTCTGCTTCAGATACGTATTGTGCAAGGCATTATCGCTGCAATCAATCACAAAAATGCATATTTAGGTTTTGTACATTAAATACCACACCTGTGAGCCTATGTAAAAGATATACAAAATATAAATGTCATCAGGACTGTATATTTCAAACTTTTTAAAATAAACACAAAGTATATATATGTAGGGATATAGGTTGTAATTTCAATGTCAACACTAGCACAGTTTGTCTCTTCTAAATACAGACCTGTATACTTCCTAGTCCAACACATGCACCTACAAACACATGATCATGCATACAGCTTTATGTTCTGCTGTTTGCAGAAGAGTCAGAATATACAGCACTATACATTGTTTCAACTCAAAACTGATTGGCAAATTAAGGAAGATGCTATTTAAAAGAAATTCCTCGTGAGCTATTACCAAAAAAAAAACCAAACAACAAACAACCAAAAAAAACCACAGGGCTATAGTTATTTTGTCTCAATAAAAACACTGAAGACCATGGTGATGGTGATCTAAGATTCAAAACACTTTGTCCGGCATGTAGTGGGGGTCGTTCTTGGACAAGATACAACAGTGTAGAGCTGGTTGCTATAACACATAATGAACAGAGTTACCAGTTACAATGAGGCGTAGAGCTTTCACAACACCATCCAACCCAGCTCTGTGTTCAGACTACTGAGGTCTCTGACCGAAAAGAGATAGAGCAGTTATATGTCGTTCTTCTCACAGCAGGTGGTGCTGATGGTGATCTGGATGCCCATCTGGAAGGTAAGCGTCGATTTGCTGGCCGAGCAGGCCGGGAAAAACCCTTCCCACTTGAACACTTAGCTGGCACAGAGATCTAGAACACAAAGGCAATTCCTTGCTTTAACAAGTTACGACTTCTGTGGAATGCAGTGGGAATGTAGGAAGACATTTGGGGTGACCTCAGAACAGGTGGTCTGAAGCTATTAAAAGTAGCACAGTAATGTGCAGAATGCAAAAGAACAGCTATTTCTATGTATAGGGATTCTCACATCGTCTGCAGTTTAAACTGTATGGAGACAAGTGTCAGACACAAGGAAAGGTATAAAATGTGAATGCAAGCCAAAACTGACATTCACTTCTTATTTCTTTACATTTTTTTTAATTTTTTTTTTCTCAATAAACACTGTACAGTGTTCTAAATGTGGAAGTCAGAATATCATCATACATTACCAGAGTATGTTCTACATACTTTTCAGGTATTTTTTTGTAGTTGCCATTTCAGCAGTCACATCTTGCTAAGAACTCTGTTTCCGTTAGTGCAATATGAAGCTGTTTACACTTGGTAACTAATTCATAATGTTTAAGTATTAATGCAGTGCCATGCCTACATGCAGAGCCTTATATACACAGGGAAACCAACAGCTTTTGATCGCAGCTACAGTGATGCAAATTGGAAATAATGAAAATAAACTAAATGCCTCATACTGTGTGTAGTTCATTGTATCTTTGTGACAGGAATTCTGCTGGACCTAAAATGGTATCCCCTGATCAGGCAATATTCTACACTTAGTTTGTACAAATAGAAATGACAACATAAACTGTGAGCCTATGGAGAATAAAATCCAATTGGTTCAGTAAAGTTATTTTGGGCTTATATCAATGTAAACTCAGTCATTATGTCGTCATTATTTCTTCCCTACGTTTCATTGATGAAAATTTGTTTTCCTATCAAAAGTTCATTGGATAAAAAAGAGAAGCTTCATTTTTTTTTTCTTTCTGTGCTGTAGTAAAAATCTGCTAAGCAAGATGTTGCATCACTGCAAGGCTGTCAGAAAGACATGCAGAAGAAAACCTGCATGGTAAGATTCTCAGCTGTTTAAAATCCACATAGCTCCACTGAAGTCTGTGAATTTGTGATAGTTTAAAGCATCCAGCTGACAGTCTGAACCCATATAAGTTCCTCAGCTCAAAACACATTTGATTTCTCTTTTCTGAGATGCTAAGGGACATATCTCTGTGTTTATTGGCCAAGGAGCATTTTAGGAAAAATTACTTTTCTTTCTTTGCGGCCTTTTACAGAACCTGCAACTTACAATGTATGTTCAAAATCATCTGTTTCTATTTCCATTAAGAAAGAATGTTGGCAAAGGCAGTATTTCTAAGCTTTTGCAAATAAAATTCAGCCAAATATAAATCAATTAGTCATGCCATACTCTCCTGTTTCTGTGAGCCTATGCATGAATATATAGGAGAAGTCTGGAACTGAGATTAAATAAGAGGTCATTTTATTACTAGAAACTTTATGGAACTACAGTACCCTTTTTCATAGGCAGTTCCAAGGATATCTTGAACCAAGAAGCACCCTGGATGCTGAAGAATGCTATCTAAGCCATCTAGGATTTTGATATGGCCAAGTGTGCTTAAGCCTTTTGGGAAGGCTTATGAAATAACTTGTCAGCTAAGGGAAGAAGGGAGGGAGTTAAAATCTGACTGCAGTTCTCACTAGTTCAATCCTTAAATAACTGCACTGCAGTTAAAATCTTGCTTTACACAATGGTAGCAGAGATCAGAATCTGGCACACATCTTCACTGATCATTCTTACTTTCAAGCTTCTGTCCTCCCACAATTCTATTATCTTCAGAGGAAATACTCCTGACTCACCCAGATCCTGGCCTAAAGTGTCTATTTTTACCTAATTGTTTACAAAATCTTGTTACCCTGCCTCACTTTAGAATCTAAAGTTTGGTATGAAACTGAACTATTTTGTTCTTGCAATTTTTGTGAACCTTACCTCTCGTAACTTCTGCCTCTCTTTTCCTTGCTTGACTTGCTGCCCAATATGCCTGGCTGAATTCCTCGGAAATTCTTGCTTTCCTTGCTCAATCTGGAGCATTTCTAAAAACTGACTCAATGGCTCACAATCCCCACTGGTGAATTCAGAATTTGCCTGTGTCCACGGCTCTTTGCAGCATTTTGCACTACATGAAGAAGTCACTGTTGATTTTTCATAGTTTTTCAAAAGCTTTTCAACAACTCCATAATTTGACCTTGAGTCAGCTGAACGTGGGCGACCAGATAAATTACTTGGTCTCCAGTCATGCTCGTGAAACATGTGCCTATAACCACTAGTATTTGGAAGTCCATTCATTTGCTTTTGTTGCCCTGCCGTTCTGACAGCTTTGCTAGGGTTGCCAGTCTTTTGCTCCTTTGTTGCAGAGAATTTGGGATTTGAAACACAAGATGTATTTAAAGTTTCTGTCCTGCTAATAGCAGAGTCACTCAGTGGGCTGCAGGGTTTATGATCTTCTGATGCTGCTTGAGGCACCTGGTTTGCTTGCAAAGCATTGTTACATTTATCTGTGTGAAATATAGTCCGGTTAAACTCATCAATCTTTGCTGCTAAAGTTTCATTTCTTTGGGTCTTTCCTGAAATATACCTAGAGTCTTCCAAAAGATCATTGTGCAGGGTAGCAGGGGCATAAAAGCCATTACTGTAATAAGGGCTGCTCTGAAACCTGGGATTTTGTTTCTGGTGCATCTTGTTGCTTTGGGCCATATTTCCATCTGAACAACTCTTTTGGGCTGACAGTGAGGAGGGTTCACTTCTATTATCTTTTCCAAGTTTGCCCACATCATATGCCCATGTGTTGTGGCAGAAACTTGTTGGCACATTGCACTCATTTTTGGTTACGGGTATTGCAGCAGTTGCTATCGCGGGACCTTTCACAGCCTGCCCTTCACTTGTAAAGGCTGCTGCAGTTTCATTCTGGTTTATAGGTGAAGGATTCATCAGTTTTCCTCCACTCTTACAGTCCTGAGACTTGCAATTGCTTTTGATGCCTGTATCTCTTATTGACGCTTCAGAAAGCTGTACAACCGCAGAAAGTGAGTTTGTTAGGTGCCAAGAAGTGCTCCGTGGAGGAACTGGTGGAGCTTCTTTCTTTTGCCAAGATCTGAAGTCTGTTTGTTTATCATCAGTAAGACCACCATAAGACATATCCTTCAAAGCCTTCGTCGAGCTCATCAGATTCTTCCTATTATTATGTTCCTCTGTTTCAAAAGCAACTGAAGTCTGTGATTCATTGCTGGACACATGGTTCATCTCAGGCAGAATAACTGTGCTTTGGGTTTCCTCAAATTCCCCCAGGAAAGGAAGTGACTTCATTCTGGAAATAAAAGGAGAGGTGTTTTAGGGATGAGCAATAAGGTTATTCTCCCAGGGGACCTCAGCATGGATGCATTCTCCCTATGAGCAACTGGTTTAACACTGGCTGCTTAAAAAGATCTGGGAGCAGTTTTACTGCAGCTGATACAGCCAGCATCGTATTTGAAACATACATGAAGAATTTAAAGAAAGACCAACGAAAGGAATCTTGTATTCCTTTCTCTTAATTTTTTTTTTCTGAACCTTTATAGGTGATTGCTTGTTTTCTTACCTATCCTACAGTAGGAACAGTGGAATCTTGTGAGTTCTAATGACTCCAGTGAGAGTCTACCTGACTATGAACTGAATAAAGAAAGCTCTGGACTATAGTGCATCCTGTGTATAGGTTTCCTAACATTATCCATGACAGTACAAATGTGTCTTTTGAGATCTGTTCAAAAATCACCTTTTTCTGGCCAGGATTTAGAAACTATTCATCAGATATGCATTTATTAGCTTTAAAAATACGAACACTAACCCAGCTACAATAATGAGTTAGTGACAGAAAGACAACTGGTTGCATGGAGGGGTATAAGAAGCCCCTCTGCTCTTCGGGAACATCTGAGAAGAGCCTAGCATGATGCAGACTTCCATGTTGTCTCAGCATAGCTGAGACACAGCCTTTCTTAATCTTTTTCATGGTGTGCACCCTGTCACACCATGCGTTCAGTTTTACCTTCTGAGAATTTCTGCACAACTCAAGAGGAAGATGGGTGTTTAGCTTGCTAAAGGAAGACTATGAACATTGAATTTTTAACAGATGAAGGAACATTCATTTGTCATACTTTCCAGGGTCTGGCTTACCATCTTTCCATCAGAACAAATGTATGGTTGTTTTGCTTTTTCTTGCCTTCTTTACACTCTTGGATTGTCAGTTCCTGCCACATCACCCACACTTAAGGCTAGATACAAGCTTAATGTAAGAAACCTCCCAGCCTAACCAACCCATACAGTGTTGTATAGAACTGCATGGAAATGGACCAGGGCAGACAGAAGTATGTGTTCACTTTCCCAATCCTCTATATAGCCATTAGAAACAAGTACAATTTAATCTTGTATAAATAAAAATTTAATTTTGTAGGTTCTACAGATACACTCCATTTTGCTAGTAAAATGTGCCCTTGTATCATATTTCAGTTTATTTCGTTTGAATATTTTTTACTGAGCACTGAAACACTAGGAGTATAGGAACTGCCCAACTCCTAGTAAACTCAATAGCAACCACTCCTTCAAAGAGAACAGAAGCAATCTCATTATTCATTTTCTTCCTCTAATTTAGGGTCCAAACATGTTTGTACCTTCTGTGGTTTGACTTCTTTCGGATTTCCTCTTGATAGCTGCATAATTCTTCACTGACTCTGGCAAGTTCTTTGAGAGCCTTTATAAATATAAAAACAGTCCTTTAATATAAGCCTTTAAAATGGTATCTCCAGAATTATTTTGAAACTTGTGGTCACTTGCATTTAAGACTCACAGCAGAGGGAAGCAGCACAAAGAAAGATACAAAAATGACCCCAGGTTATAAATGGAGTTAAAGAGCATGCTGTTAAAACATCTAAACAGTGAGAAACACTCATCAATAGCAAACCAAGGAGGAAGTAGAGACTGCCTTGGTGGAAAGCTAAAATCAGGGAGATCAGTTCTTTAGGCTACCCTGGCAGGCAAAAGTTTGCAGTATTTTCCTCACCCATGTAACCAAGACATGCCCATACTTTACTTACTACATTGAGATCACCAATATAATTCTTGGCATTTTTCTTGGAAGTTTTGATGCTGAGGCTGTCTTCAGGTTTGTGACCGTTCTCAAAGGCCAGATTGTCCATTAACAGAGCACTGTTTCTGCCCTTGGCTCTGGTTTCTTTACATTTGTGTCCTGTTTTACTAAGCAAACTTCCTTTTTCCATCCTGTCATTTGCAACATTGTGTTGACAGTTCAGCTCCACTGCGTCACTCTCTTCCAAAGTAGGGGAATGCAAGGACAGCTGCAGCATCTTGCTCTGAATCGTATTATTACCATGGACGTTCATATTGCTCTCCCTTCTAAGTTTTACCTCCTGGTAAAGCTGAAAAGACAATAGAACCTTGTATTAAATCATGGTACTGTGATGAACTTCATGGTAAAAGAATATATTCATATTCTGTTTTGAATGATACTTCACTCAGTAGAAGAATACCAAGTAGAAAGATTTGTACATGTGTTAGTAAAAATTGATTTTATGATGCTATAACAGTGCACTATGTGGTGGACACATCCCTGATCTGATGGATGGGGAATATGAGGGAGAGAGAAGGCTCTGGCTATGTTACCAGCTGGAAAATTATGTTAGTTTAAGGAGGGAAAGTGAATTCTCATTACATACAGTGTCATCTGCACCAACGCAGACTCTTCTAGTTCTCAGGCAAGTGTAATCCTCCCCTATGATTCAAGATATAAATCAGTACTGCAGAATGGTATTATCTGGCAATGTGCTGTCACCTTCTTATCTTCTTTCATGCTACCCACTGAGATGCAGTGGCTTCATTAGTAAATGAAAAGGTGATAATTCCTGTCACTCAGCAATTTCAAACTAGGGAACTGCGATAAATTATAAATTAGAAAAAACAGCAACATCATAAAAACCTCTTCTGCCTACAGTATCATTTCCAGTGCCAAGAATCCCAGTGCTCTTTATAAACATTCATTCTTAACTTGCTTTTGTGAAGAAAACAAAGAGCAGGCACCTCTGAACAGCCATCTGCCTGCTTTCTCACAGTGCACAAGGCCGTCTCAACAGCTTTTGGAAGGACAGTGAAGAATAACAACAGGAAGAACATGCGGCCATTTCATGAGTAGTGCTGAACATCAGAAGTATTCTCACGTTCAGAGAGCTAACACTTGACCTCATCCTGGGCTTTCAGATTTCAGTCCCAAGCCCAGCTGCTCATGAAACCTGAGGGCTGAATTTTGTCATTTCCAAGGAATGAGGGCCTCATACGGATTCAGCATAGCAGTAAGAAGGAAGGATACCACATCGTAACAGTATCATCTCTTAAACCACAGAAGTCTTCCTGGAGTAATCCAGTAATTAAGTTAGGTTTTGGGGGGCTAGATAAAAATACTAAATAAAAACACAAGCTGAAAAGGTAGCACAAGTTTTATTGAGGAAATCCTTCTGCAGATGATGGCATGTAAAAGGTATCTCCCCTTTTCTCCAGCCATGTGGCTTCTGGTGAAGAAACATCAGGCAACTAAAATCAAGGGCTATAGCCACAATTAAGGAGGTGACCTTAAGATACCGATAACCTTGGGATACCATCTGTAGTTTTGTCTGGTCCTGTAGCACCCAGTGATTTGCTTCATTCTTGTCTTCTTAGCCCAAATCCATTCTTTATCTCTTTTTCTGTTTCTGTCATGCTTTCTTAATCCATATACTAATAAAAAACATTGAAAAAACATGGTCTTTGCTGCCATTGTCAGTACTGCTAATAGCCAAAATACCTTTTCACAACACATTATTGTCATTCCATAGCAGCTCATATACCTAACCAACTGAAATTCAACTACACATGCAGATCGCATCACTAACTTTTGAAGGGACTCTCACCTCAGCAGTGAAATTATGCAAGATTGCATAGAAATGTCCTAACACAAAAGCAAAATATGGCAAAGACTATCATACCAAAGTCTGCAAGATCTGCAGGTAAAATATAAGACAGCTGATATTATGGAGCTACGCTGCAGGCTAGTTTAACAGGCAGTGTATGGCTGCAATGCATTTGGCTCTGATAATTTTTCTTCTCATACTTTCATGTGAGCAATCTCTGCTATACATTCCTGTGTTGCTCAGCCACAGGATGGTGTTGGCAGAGAGCAAGCAAAACTACTCCATGTGTATATTAGAATGAAAAATGTGGAAAGCTTAGTGGTGAAAAAACTTGCTTCTATACGTTGCCAAGGCAGATTCAATTTATGCATTACAGAACACCAGACGGTTCTGCCACAGGGACAATTTGGGAATAAAAAAGTAATAAATAATTACCGTAACTATATCTGGAAGGACATGCATTACAAATGGCAAGGAGTGAGTGTTAGTACCCGCAAACACACATGGTGTCAGGACTTTCATGGTATTTACTGCAACTGTTTTCTCTACTGAAAGCTGTCTATAAATGGAGCAGATTCTAGCCAGAATGATTCTGCATCATGCAGCATTTAATGTATGATCTTCTTTTTAGTATTACCATTTACCCCAGCAGACCTGTGATATCTAATCCATTTTTGCCAGAAAAATTATGACACCTAGAGTTTTTGCTACTAAATATGCATTTTCTAAACACTGTATATGCAGTTGTTCAGTGTATACTTGAAAAAATCTTGTATGATATGAGCAGTGTGGCTCATGCCCAGAGAGCTGGCAGCAGTATATACAGCCAACAACATCATAGCAGACTTCACACAAAGCAACATTTAACCTCCTGCTTCATATTTATGATTATTAAATGAGCAATTGTAAATACTGCTTAACGCCTGGCTTTGAGTCTTACCATCAGCTATTAGAAACTTCCAGTGACAAATAACAAAAAGGATATAAAAAAAAAAATTGAAGCACCCCCCAATCACTTCATCCCAAGCGAAAATGTTAGTGTTCAGAGTTTTGTTTTAAAGTACCTCTTCTATTTTCTTCTGCATAACCTTCCATTGACATTCCCATTCTTTCCTTTCATTGTCAAATCTCTCCAGCAATTCCATCTTCTCTATATTCCAGTTCCTCTCAGTATTCTCCAGTTGTTTACTCAGGTCCATGGTTACAGCCTGTTTAACAGCAAGAAGATAGCTCTGCTTTTTCTCTTTCTTCCCTGAATGTTTCCTGGAAGTTTATCAGACTAAACCTTACTTGTGTTTGATTCTAACTTTCAGGGAAAAAAAGAATCAAGCAACCCCCCCCAAATTATTAACTGAAATGTGCTTGCAGGAGACAGCATCATACAACTGCATGATATATATCTGGAGTGTGACTGGAATACAGACAAACCAAGTATTATAGAATACAAACACAAGGGCAGAGAGGCCCAGTCTGAAATGGGGAAAAGTGATCCACATGCAGTACAACAGAATTCAGCAACATCAGCTACAGCGAGCTCTGTATGGTAGCCACTTTGCATTACTTTTCACTTTAAACCTGTTTTCAGCAAAATTCAAGTCTGCATGATACTGAATGGCACTTGAGGACCTTGGCATCCTGCAACGTCTGCCCTTGAGGGTCAAAACTATTTTTACGTTTGTTCAAGAGACAACTGCAAGTGTAAAGGGATTGTTTGCTCATGCACCCCTTTCATACATGCATGTAGCATGACAAAGACTGTGACATTCTTTTGGCAATTGAAGACTGTAAACTTGATACATGCAGATAATTCTCATGGCTACATGAATACTTTAGAATACATGAAGCAAGACAGGACAGGAAAGCTAATAACAATAAACACATAGAGTATAAAGCATCATTCTACTACATAAAAGACTATAGGTCACTATAAAAAGTTAATATATTTTGGATTTACAAATCTAAATCTAAAAATGCTAGTTCTACGACCAGCATAGGAAAAACAAGAAAATATTCTCAAGTCTAGTTCAAAACCTTGTTCAGAATATTTAACTGATTAGCCCTTCTTCAGAAGTCTTTAGTACCTGTGGATGAAAAATTACCAGTTGAACCACTAAATATGTATATTTTATGGGAAATATTTTGGATCTGCTTATCTGGCTTTGAAGCAAAACAGTTACAGACTTTATAGGCCTGGTGCTCCTCTTGCTTTCTTAGGCTTTACAGCAAGAACTCCACCAGCACATTTACTATGCCAGCAAGGCCAAAATAACACTCACTTATTCACGATGGCTCCTGTGGTACAATGGCTGGTATACACATATTGATACTTGAGTTTGTTGACTTTGGCTCTCAAAGCCAGCTGTTGTGTTAGTTAGGTGGACATGGAATTCAGTTCTAGTCAGAAAATGCCTCTGCAATATTTTGGTCTCCTGCCATAAACCAAGTGTATGGGCAGGCAAATGAATTATCAGAGAATTAACTAGGAGTAAACCTAGGAATTTGTTCATTTCCCTGACTGATGGTCTGTGATTGCCAACCCACAGGAACTGTCCATTTTATCATTCATATTTTCTTTGATTTAGTAAAAATTAATTCTTGAGCTTCACGTAAATTTCTTCCCCATCCTGTATTTTATTGGACAAGTCTTGTTGATTCAGCTGTGGTTACTGTGTAATCTTCTTACCAGTGTCTGCATTATTTCAGCTGACTGGGCAGCTGATGCCAAACTTGAAATCAGCTTCTTTCATGAACAAGTAAGCAGAAGAGCTCAGCTGAAGCCCAGTGGGTTACTTAGGTCTTTGGGTCATAAGAAGTCCTGCTAAAGGACCTCTCAACTGACAACCATCATGGGCCCAGTCCTAATTCCGGGTTCGCAAAACTGGCTGCCCCAAGCAATTTTGGATGGAGCATTTAGAGAACAAGCTGACTATTCTTCCAACATCTTTGTCAGCCTGCTTCACGATGGTGATAACCATGTCACCATGTAACATGGTACTGGAGATTAGTCTTTCAAAATCTGACTCACACCTGCCCTGAAGGTCTGAAATGGAAATCTGTCCCTCAACTACCTACAAACAGATTTCAGACCTTCTTCACCTGCCTGAAAACATACAGGACAGCTTTTATGAAAACATACACCCCTTGAAACTAAGAGCAGCATTCCCATCACAAAAGAAATCAAGCACTGGTTTGCTCATGGCTTCTTAGGGAAAGCAGCTAGGCTACAAAGACTGCACCTCTCCAGTCCAACATTTCAGCTTTGTGCCAGACTTTCATAAAGTGTAGGTGAAAAACAACTTACAAAAAAATTCCACTGCACTTGTGACCTATGCAATCTAAACATCTATTGCTAATGAATTTTTAAACCATTTCAGTATTTTCTCTCTGCACTTTTTTTAAGGTTGCAATATTTAGTACAGTCATTTGCCCTTTATTTTTCTACATTTATGTCTCTATAACCTTTCGAGACATCTCTAAGAAATAAACAAAAGTCAACTCTCTGCTCCACTAGAATCCTTCAAATGTATGTCAGAAAGAAATAAAAAGCTTACAAATGCTGTAAAGTCATGAACAAGACAGGCAGACACAATCTGTCAACAACTTTCACAAATGGTGATTTTGCTAGTGCACTATTAGTAACAATGACCATGCTTCGATCAGCAACATACTACTAGAAAGTCAATACTATATAGCATATTTTTTTACACACATAAAAATATATATATATATATATATAATATGTATTCCTTTCAAACATGCATATAGCATTGAAAAGGCCCCTAGTGGTTTCTTACTGCTGGGAATTACTATTGCTATGTTTACATTCATCTTAACAATTTCCAAATTGCTTCATATGGGAATCTGATTATAAAAACAGATTGGAGACCATTAGAATAAAATCAAGTCTTGGAAGAGGCTAGTTACAAAAATTACAGATAGTCACTTGTAGCTCTAAGATCCAGAAAAAACTCGTGTTGCTTCTTACGCTTCTCCAATTTCCTCTTGACATAAATTCTGAGACGAAAACTCATGTTATTGATGTTGGCAGCTGGATGACTATACAATTTTGCTGCTGTTGTACAGTGGATAAATTCCTCAGAGTGTTTTAGCTCCTATTTCTATGACTTTTTTCCCCTTTTTTCTTTGGTAGTTTTTTGGTTCTTTTTGTTTTGTTTTGTTTGTTGTTTTTGTTTTTTTTTTTTTGAGGGGAGGCTTTAGGGGGAGGATTTTTGTTTGGTTTTTTTTTCCCTACTAGCAATAAAATCCAATTTGTCATTCTGATAGTATACCCTCTGCCTGTATAGTGCATCTAGATGTCCCCATGGGTATTTCACATGGGTCAAGTAACCCAAAGAGATGCAAAATGCCACATTATAATTTGCTGTGTAGATCAGAACAATACTGTGCTCTTGCAGTATTTGCACTTTCTGCATGTCCTAGACAAGGTCAGAAGCTCATTATAGCAATCAGATTCAAGCAAATAATCAATTTTGTCTACATCAGCTGCATTTCCCCTCAACTTTTCCTTTAGCTCTTCCTTCTGTCAAGCAAAAAATGTTTTAAGCAACTATTTGATGTTAGTGTTATCATTCCCCCATGTCCTTCCCATGCCTTTCCTATGCACATATTAAAATTGCAAAATAGTTTGCAACCAACCTCTACTAACTTCTGAAAATAATCTGCAGTGACATGAGCTGAAATGCTGTTTTCCAACAGAGGTTAATTAAACTGGATGTGTACAACCATTCAGATACACGAATCTTCCCTTGATTTTACAGGTAAAAAAGCTATTAAAATATATTTCTAATAAAGTGCTGTGGTTTAGATGACTAAGGAAATAGTACATTTATGTATCTGTTCAGTTATAAAAGTGTGCCATGTGTCACAATATTGTGGACTTTATACACAAAAAGAGAGAGAAGTGAAAGAGAGAGAGAAAGGGAGAAAAGGAGAAAGAAAGATAAGAAAGAGACGAAGAGAGAAAGAGGGAAAGAGAACAGAATGGGAAAAAGAGGGAGAGTGAGAAAGAGAAAGGGAGAAAGAAAGAGATAGAAAAAAAAAGAGAAAGAAAGAGAAAGCGAGAGAGAAAGCGAGAGAGACAGAAAGAGAGAGAGAAAGAGAGAGAGAAAGAGAGAGAGAGAAAGAAAGAGAGAAAGAGAGAGAGAGAGAAAGAGAGAAAGAAAGATAGAAAGAGAGAGAGAAAGAGAGAGAGAGAGAAAGAGAGAGAAAGAGAGAGAAAGAAAGAAAGAGAGAGAAAGAGAGAAAGAGAGAGAGAGAAAGAGAGAGAGAAAGAGAGAAAGAAAGAAAGAGAGAGAAAGAGAGAGAAAGAAAGAAAGAGAAAAACAAAGAAAGAAAGAAAAGAAAAGAAATGGAGGGAAGAAAGAGGAAAAAAAAAGAAAAAAGGGAGGGTGGGAAAGAAAGAGAAATAATGAAAGAGAAGGAAAGATAGATTTGAGTGCTCACAACTCTACCTGTCATCCCTATCCTGCTGATATATCTGCGTCTGCTCTGAGCACCACATTACATACAAATAACATTAGAGAGATGTTTAAATAACTGTTTTCCATACGAGTAATTTGCTTTCTTTTTTAATCTTAGCTATTCAAACCCCTGATTTAAAACAAACTGTAACCATACCTTTAATGGAATATGAAATCCCTTAGAAGTCTTTCAGTCCATTTCTAAACAGCAGTGAAAGCAATGAAATGCATAGCTAGCTGGGATCCAGTTCTGCAAATCTTGATCTTTAAAAGAAATGAGAAAGCTGAGCAAGACACAACCTTCCAACCGGGGCAGCATTTGTAACTCTCTTTGAATAAGTCCGCAACTTTTGCAAACTGAAAAACAGTTCCGTTCAGCATCATCCCAGCAGCTGGCTTCCACGTGACGTCAGTGTATGGAGGATGGTTTTAAAGCCATCTCTTCCAACCCCCAGCTCTGTAACTTAATATCTCCTCATATTTTGTGTAAACAACTCCAAGTCCAGGACATTTTTAGGTTTTATAGTGCAGTCCAGTCTTTAAAGCCTGCCAAAGCAGCCAGTGTTAGTATTAAAGCTGTGACAATAGGCAATTTCAGGTTTCTTTTACTAGCGTCCATGTTGTAAAGGAAGATTCCTTCCTGCCTTCCAGACCTGGTTTTCAGGGTTATATTTTTTATTATGATAATTTTGAGCTTTGCAACTTGATCCTCAAAAACT